AAAAAAAAAAAAAAAAAAAAAAAAAAAAAAAAAAAAAAAAAAAAAAAAAAAAAAAAAAAAATTAGAAGTGAGGAGGCTGCAGAAATGGACGCGTCTTCCCCGTAGCCGTGTTGGAGAAATGAATGAATAGCAAAAAATTAGCAGGGGATCCAGACGTTCAAGTTGTAGCCCCCCTCTCTCCTCGAGTCATAGCCCCCGTCGCGTTGCGTCTTTGTCGCTGTGGGTGTAGCCGAGCTAAAGTCATAGCTGTTCAGTACGATTCCGAAATTCAACGCTTCCTGACACGCGCTGCAAATTTCCGGCACTCCGCTCACGTGGGTTTACCGATCGCGTTTCTCTTCTCCAAGAAGAAAAAAAGCAAACATCCCTCACGAAATTTCTTCTCCTCAGCCAAAATAGGCCAACTCGAGTGATGACATCGTAGAGTTGGGTGGAATTTTGAGGCCGAATTCAATATTTGCTACCCTGAATCAATTTTATTTATTCATTGAGCAGAGTTCTCGAGCGTTCGCAGCTTGGAACTACAATATTCGTTAATTCAGAGTTCATCGGAATTCGTCACGTATATTGCTTTTTTAATTCCATTATTCGAAACTATTTTGTGCTCTTTTAAATTGTCTAATTTCGAGTGTGTTTTGAGGACTTAGTTCAAAATGTGACGCGCTCAAAATTTCTACGCTCGGACCGATGAAATTTTTGTTACCCTCCCAGGTATGTCCATCCATGTTATGTTTACTTTCTCGCTCCCCTTGAGAATAGAAGGTATACTTCCATCGAAAAAAGAAGAAGAAAAGTTGAAATTCAATAATTTCTTGGCGTTTTAAGGTGCCTTGCATAATAAGAAATCATACTAGAAAAAATGTGCGTCCGTCCGTCCGGTATCCCCTATTTCTGACCACTGCCATTTCTGAAAATCTATTTTTTTCTAATGAACTGCAACCTTCAGGTGGCTAGATGTTCAAATCACTTTCATGAGTGTTGATCGAAAAAGAGTACTATCGCGGATGAAAGAATCAAGTGGTAGGAAAAAACCATATATCGACGGTGAAACTACTAAACCACGTATCTCGGTTTGCGACGTCGCAAACTTCCTGTCATACTTTATTTTTTAAATGAAAAACTACTTAACGTCCAGTCTTGAAAATTTCTGTGATTTTTCCTCTTTGTGCGTAGAAAATTCCGTGAAAATTTCAAGGAATGATATTGATTTGGTCTATTTCAAAAAAAGAAAATGCGAGCGTAGATTTTTAAACACCGCAAACGAGATACGTGGTTTGGTAGTTTCACCGTCGATATTCTTTATGTCAAGTAAAAGTCTCGATGTATCTTGTATTTTGCATGTAGGAATACTGTGCGAGTTTCTAGTTCATTTGTGTCTGTAATTTTTGGAACTTAACTGCATTTTGCTCGAAATTATGAAAACCTCACTCAACGCCTTCATTAGTCTGACCCTCCAATACTCCCACTGATTCTTTTTAATCGTCGCGTCGTTTTTAACCAGCCTTCTCTTGCACTTAAACCTTCAATATTTATCCTCAAATTAATTCTACCCGCTTTTCGATGACTTGCTCCTTCGAGCTCCTCTTATTGCCCAAAAAGTAGATCTCTACCATTCTCGGACTTTCATCCGATTTTGAACGGATTATTTTACAATCTATGTTCAGATATAAAATTTAGACCTACGATAAGATCTAAGACGGTTACGGTTCACCAGAAAACTTAGAACGCAAGCATTAAACTGAATATGGTAATACAGATACATTCTTACATTGCGCTCCTCTAACACCACGTGTCGGATTTACCTGCTTGTTTTTGTTCATTTTAGAAATAGCATGAATTCCATTTTTTCCTGGTAGATAGGTGACTTTATGGACGAGTCAGAAACACTAGTTCCTCATTGTGCTTCTTCTTTTCTTTTCTTTTTTTTTATTTTTTGTCTTGTCGGAAAATGAAGTCCAAATTAACAGGAGGTTTCAATCAGAGTAGAAAATGAGATAAATACATGCACGATTCTCAGGAGATAACTGTTCCTGCTCCCCGGTTGGTTTATTGCCTATCCAGCTAAATTGAAGGCGAACTTCAGTGGACGCAATCTACAAACTGGATAGCGAACCGTCTATTGCTTTAATTGAAGAATCAAGCTGATATAATTTTCGTGTAGATCGTGTCCCTCTATTGATTCGTTCCTACTCCGCAAAATTGAAGACAAAATTCAGGTTGTTGACACAAAAAGTTTGTATCGAATTCGCATCCTGGAAACTTGACCGAGTACAAAATCGTGTACACCAATATGTATTTTTAACATCGCAGTTAGTTCTCTGAAGAAACGAAGGCGTGCATTGAAGTATCATTCAACGCTCACTCATAACGCACTGTGTTGAAGTTTAGTTTGCTTGTAATGATCACTATTTTCAAAAATGATTACATTTACACCACTTTATCATCGACACCTTTAATTTTCCCTAAATTTTGATTTTTACTTATTGTTTTTTGTTTCTTTCCTCTGTTTCAGGTAAGGAATATTTTCAAATATTCTTATTCGAAAATAACAATGATATTGTGGTGAGTCGGCTCATATGGTCGGTTTTTATGTACTAAAATATTATCTAGGAGCTCACATTTATCACAACTTTGCGCGATTTTACCAGAGACGGTATGCTTAGAGACTCTGCACTGCTATTTTTCCTGTAGCGTAAAAGTTACATTCGGGAGTCAGCGGTAAACTTCTCTTACTGATAAAATGACCTCTATTTTGCAATTTAGAACTACAATTTCTGGCTCTTTGGTAAATTCACTTATCTGCATAGGGAATCTATTGGTACTTAAGTCGTTTCTAAACGAAGCCAAAAATTGCAGTTCCCAATTGCAAAATTTAGTCCAAATAATGACTAACGAGTGTTGAGCGATTAATTTAGCTGAATAAAACCGGGATGCAGCGCATTCACATAAATGAAACCTTTCTTATTTTTAAAAAATCGGGGAACGTCAAATGAGGCTCGAACATCCGATCAAATCAGGCAAAATCTCATCAGACGTATCGCTTGTTCGCCACACTTGCGGGAAAATTTCGTGAGAATCGTTCCGGTAGATCTCCAAATCCCTCCGGTACAAGGAATTCCTTCTTTTTTTTAAATTTAAATTTAAATTTTTTTGATTGTTTGGTTCCTAATCCTACCATGCTTAGGAAAAACGCCGTACGAGCCTTCAGACGTTATCTAATCTCCTTTAATGGTAAATTACTAATTATCAGGAAAATTTGCCAATATTTTTCCAACAATTTTACAGAGATTTTATTCGCAGTCAGATCTAAATCATCTGAAAATTTCAAGAGGAAACATTTGCGACTCTCCTTAAAAATATAAACTTGTCATTTGAGGCAATTTGGCAACTCTCGAATGTTCATACGGCGTTTTTCTTTAGCACGACAAAATTGAGAGACTAACAATAGGTCTAATTTATACACCTTCGCACTTAGCGTGTTTACCGGCACCCTCGATTATCATTCGTGAAATGCTGGAAAGTAGATGACGTCAAAAGGTTTCCGTTGTCGGGTTTAGTTTGCTCCATTCGCACCTTCCTTCTCAATGAATCCCAGAGACAACGGTGGCGCCTTTCTTCGGTGAGATGATACGGATCCGACTTATTAACATTATTCCATTCTCGCCAGAGGCGCACCGATGACTATACCTGCCGCCAAACGCAAGACAGACCCTCGTCAAATGTCGGAATGAAATAACTAATAATTCATATCGGCTGACACTGACCCGAAGAAAGGTAAAAAGCCACTGATGATGAAAAACTCCGTTCGTGTGGTTTCTTTCTGCTTAGCGCCTATCCAAGAGGTTTGAGTCAGCATTGGCGTTGCGTGCTTTGCGATATATCGATTGATCTGCCATTTAAACCTATGGAAAAGGATCAATAAACAGGGCATTTGCAACGAACACCTCACTAATCGATTTTTTACCACAGCTTCAAATGGGGAAATATCGATAATCGATCATTCACGCCTCGCCACTGGAGATCTGAGTACAAAGCGGATGGCAACTGGGTCGCGTAGTCGCATAATTATAGCGATGGCCAACCAATAACACATCCCTGCGAAAGAGAACAAAAGTAATGTGAATTGGTTTTCTTAAGGTCCATGCATGATTTCTGTATATATGTTGATCAAAAAGTGCTATCCCGTGACAATATCAAAACTACGTGATTCGTTACCTATTATCACAGCCTTTAGCAAAATTTCTTCAGGACCCCCCCCCCTCCCCCTCAATCTCCTAGATGAATTGCTATGTTCTGAAACTTCGAATGATGACAGAATGGTGAGGTGAAGTGGAACTCCCATAAAATGAGGCTGATGTAAAATATTCCGTGTACTCCCACCACTTTAATACCCATATGACTAATTATGAAACTCATTCGGATTATCGTCGAAAAATCGGATTTGTAGGTAGTTTGTCTATCCCGCAAGTGTATATATAATTAAATTTGAAGTTAACCAGCCAAAAAATAAAGTTACAAAAATTAGTTACCGCAAAAATTTCATGGATCGATGACGATATTTTTCGGTTGTACGATTGACTTCATTTTTTGGCCCATTAACTTTAAAATTTGATCATGTACTCACAAGGTGTACATCTACTCCTGTTGATCGAATTTTTTTTAAAAATAGGTAATCCTTTTCTCTGTTAGCAGGATGTTTGGTATGAATTTCAAGCTAAAGTGTTGGTTTCGTTTTTTCAACAGAATAATACAGAAGCGGAAATTTTTGAACACTGCACTAGACATACGTGGTTTCGCACTTTGATCGTCAATATGACTACATTTTGCAATTTAGAACTATAAATTCTAGCCCGGTTTAGAAACAACGTATGTGCCATTAGTTTCCTTGTGCACATAAGTGATTTTCCAGAAGAGTCAGAATTATTAGTTCCAAATTGCAAAATGCATAGTCCAATTTGTCGAAATGATGGCAATGCACGGAACCATATCTATTCACCTTGGAATCGCCTCAACCACTAACGGCCATTTCATTTAATTTATTCGCAAGCTTCAGTGAATACTTTAAACAGAAAATTCCATTCAATATTCTAATCCTAAAAATTCTGAACAGTTTATCAGGTTTTCAAAGTTTTCAAACGTTCGGCACGGCATGGTGGTGTAGGTTTTTCAAAAACTTTAATCTGCTCCTCTATGCTGCCGTGCTAAAGAAAAACGCCGTAGGAGCCCTCAGGCGTTGCCAAAGTTCCTTCAATAAAATGCAAATTTCCTAGAAAACTTGCGGACATTTTTCCCCCAATTTTTCACAGAATTTCATTCGCAATTTTATCTGCAGTGTGTGGAAATTTGAAGGGAAAATATTCATACCTCTCCTCAAAAATTAACGTTTTATCGGAGGAAATTTGGCGACTCTCGAATGTTCATACGAGGTTTTTCCGTAGCACGGCAGTATGCACATTAGACAAAACGTTCGAGACGGTTTTACCATTTTTTTACATAGCAGCTCTAACATAACGATGGTGAAACTACCAAACCACGTATCTCGGTTTGCGACGTCGCAGACTTCCTGTCATACTTTATTTTTTAAATGAAAAACTACTTAACGTCCAGTCTTGAAAATTTCTGTGATTTTTCCTTTTCGTGCGGAGAAAATTCTGTGAAAATTTCAAGGAATGATATTGATTTGGTCTACTTCAAAAAAATAAAATGTGAGC